TGTCGATTTCGATAAAACCAGAAAATAAATCAACACCGCAGTAGATTTAAAACATCAAAAATAAGTATGAATACCTAGCAAAGAAGCTTAACTACGAAAAGAAAATACATTTTACAATTTATGAAACAATCAATAGAGGCCATTTTTCATTCGAAGAGAGAAATGATACCTAGTGAAACTTTATAAAGCGAAGTAATAAAATTAATACTTAAATATAAAAATTCAGTTTTCGCTATGCAGACAATATGCAACTCCTCTTCGCCGCTATCCACTTGCGAGGATTTCCATCAGCTGGACACCACTAAAAATTTATATCGTTACAGTCGTATAATAGAACATGACCATCATTATTTCATTATTATTCAGCATTACTGAAGTGTAGAATTCATTTTCAGTAGTGTATCAACAACGACAATTGAGATTGTTCATTGTGTTGATTTTTACACCAAATAATTATCTACGATATGGGTCAATATTAATAATAGTCATAAAAGGTGTTCGCACTAAAGAGCATAGTCCTGTTGCTTATTCTGGTATATTCACAACAGAACAACGTTGTCCTCTTCGGACACGAAACAAACTGCTGCCCGTTGACCGGCTGGTGTACCGAAGCAAACTAACATAGGTTCTTGCTATTCCTTATTAGTTCAAAATTTTTATTAGAGAATCGAACTCGATACCTTTAAAATTCAAAGCTGGCAAATTAACCACTGTGCCAACGCCCCCTTCTACATCATGTCTGAGCCTAGTCCATGAACAGGGGGTGTGGCTTAAAAAACGGTGATCACCGGGCGGCAGTCACCTTTTGGCATGCTTGAATGCTGCTTTTATGTTCGGCCATTACCTCTGGGTAGCAACCTCAACGACAAGTGATTTCACGCCTTTGCTTATCGTTCAGTCAAATCTTTTCATTTGCAGCATGGAGATGAGTTCTCTAAACTTACTCGTAGACAACACTTCCGGGTTCGTTACTGGACTTAGATTAAAACGCTAAGCAGATGTTTCTGTTCCCAAGACATTTCCAAGCGGCGCCTTTCAGATTCCAATAGGATCACTGTCTTACATTCTTGAAGCAAATCTGAAGGCCGAAGGCAGAAAACCTTTTAACTGCTGTGGTAGCATCGCAAATACTACATCTGTGATAGGCATTCGAATGTATCCAAGTACTTCCCGTCATCCACTCAGTTTCTACAGTCAGATCGACCGGTAACAGCATTTGCATCACTGAGAAGCATACACCCTATGTTCTCTGCTCATATACAGAAACATTGTACAATCAGGAATGGATTTCAGCTTGTTAGACTGACGCCTTTGCCGTATTTTGACCCTTGCCTCCTACAAAATAAGCTTTTCATGACGCAGTTACTACTCAATTTGTGGCCATTGGAAAATACCTCTAACCGCGATAAGTTACTAAGAGATACGGAAGAACAGAAAGCTCTCATTTAAATAAATTTCTATGCTCAACTTGAAGATAAGTTTTTCCCATATATTTGTTCCGTGAGGTTGAATTGGAACTATATGGTTGATAACGACTACGTTGCACAAGCTGGTAAATTCGTTGACTTGTAGTTTACATTCCAAAAGAGGAAACGCTAACCACACGAATATGCCACTTATGGCTTTGTTCGTGATTTTATGAGAAACAGAAATCACCTGAA